AAGAAGGACTATGAGGAAATACATTTTCTTTTTTCAAATTTATAGCAGCAGAATGCTTTGATCAAATTAAATCTAACATGGAAAACATTTTTTTAAAAAAGGTTCATTTGTTTATTTGAAAGACAGAGTTATAGAAAAAGAGGGAGAGACAGAGAGAAAGAGATCTTCCATCAGCTGGTTTACTCTCCAGATGGCTGTGCTGGCCAGGACTGCGCCAGGCTGAAGCCAGGAAATTCCATCTGCATCTCCCATGTAGGTGGCAGGGGCCCAAGCACTTGAGCCATCCTCTGCTGCTTTCCCAGGTGCATTTGCAGGAAGCTGGATCAGAAGTGGAGCAGCCAGGAATTGAACCAGAGCTCATGTGGAATGCTGGCATTGCAGGTGGCAGCTTAGCTACTGTGCCACAGTTCCAGCCCCAGCGGATCTTTTTTTTTTTTGGACAGGCAGAGTGGACAGTGAGAGAGAGAGAGAAAGGTCCTCCTTCCGTTGGTTCACCCCCTAATGGCCGCTGAGGCTGGCGCACTGAACTGATCCGAAGCCAGGAGCCAGGTGCCAGGTGCTTCTCCTGGTCTCCCATGGGGTGCAGGGCCCAAGGACCTGGGCCATCCTCCACTGCACTCCTGGGCCACAGCAGAGAGCTGTGGAAGAGGAGCAACCGGGACAGAATTCGGTGCCCCGATGACTAGAACCCGGTGTGCCGGCACCACAGGTGGAGGATTAGCCTATTGAGCCGCAGTGCCCGCCAGCCCAACAGAAAAGAATTCCTGGTGGGGCTGGCACTGTGGTGCAGTAGGTTAATCTTCCACCTGCAGCGCTGGCATCCCATATGGATGCTAGTTTTATTCCTGGCTGCTCCTCTTGTGATCCAGCTCTCTATTGTGGCCTGAGAAAGCAGTGGAAGACGGCCCAAGCACTTGGGCCCCTGTACCTGCATGGGAGACCTGGAAGAAACTCCTGGCTCCTGGCTTCAGATCAGCCCAGCTCTGACCATTGCAGCCAATTGGGGAATGAACCAGTGGATGGAAGACCTTTATCTCTGTCTCTCCCTCTCACTGTCTGTAACTCTACCAAATAAATACATAAAAATCTTTAAAACAACAACAACTACAGCAACAACAACAACAAACCAACCTCCTGGTACCAGCACTTCAGGTAGCATTTTGGAAATGCCGAAGAAAGCAAGAGAGACGTGGATACTTGTTATGACCCAGCAGTTCCACTTGTTGGTAGAACTCTAGAGAATTTCTTCTCAAATGTTAATATGAAGATGAAGAGCCTGATTAAAATGTAGACCCTTAATGAAATTGCCATCCGAGGAGGATGCGTGACACAGTGGTTAAGCCGCCGCTTGGGATGCCTGCATCCCAGATCGGAGGGCCTGGTTTGAATTCTGGCTCTGCTTCCGAGCCAGCTTCCTGCTATTGTGCACTTGGATCCCTGCCACCTACATGGGAAACCTGGTTGGAGTTCAAGGGTCCTGGCTTTGGCCTGACCCAGCCCTGGCTGTTGTGGGCATTTGGTGAATGACCAACAGATGGACGATCTCTGTGTGTCTATGTCTGTCTGTCTGTTTCTCTCTGTCACTCTGACTTTCCAAAAAGCTTCTAAAACGGGAATCCCATTAAGTGCAGGTTCTGATTCAATAGCACTGGCAGGGGAACTGAGGCTCTGCGTTTCCAGCCAGCTCCTGGGTGCTGCTCCTGCTGCTGCTGCTGGTCCAACGAGCACATTTTGAGTCTCATGGCCCACAGGACTGCTTTCTAAATGTTTTCCTTCTTTCTTTCTCTCTCTCTTTCTCTCTCTCTCTCTCTTTCTTTCTTTCTTTTAATGGCTGTGACTGACTGTAAGAAATGTATGCTACATTGCAGTCCAGCGCATGCTTATCTGTAATTGAAACAAAAGTCTTTTGAAGCAATGCTTGCTCTTACTATATGATGCACTCTAATATTTTATGTTCTCTTATGCAAAAATAAGGCAGTGCTGATCACAAAGCCACAGAATGATTTCATTGTTCACCGATGGGTCTCATGCCACACTTCAAGAAACTGAACCCTAGAGAAATTCCTGTACAATACACACCAGGAGACACCAAGTTTCACTGATGCATTGTTCATAACACAACAACAACAAACTTCGGGAAGAATAAAGCAAAATCAAGCCAGTAACTAGAAAAGTCTATCCACCAGAGAGCTTGTCAATAGATCTGTGATCCGTGCACACAGTTCTACTGTAACAGTGAATGACTCCAAACCACATGCATCAGCATGCATCTCAAAACAATGTTAAATAAAAATACACGTTGCCAAAGGATATGTGTTAAAGGAAATTGTTTGTGTACAGTTTAGAAACAAGCGAAAGAATCCTCTTTGTTACTGAGAAATACATCCATATGTAGTCAAGTTATAAAAGCTCATAAGGGAACTCAGGAAAGTGTTTGCCTATTGAGGGAAACGGGAATAGAGGTGCCTTTGGGGCTTCATTAGTATATGTAAAGCTGAATTTCCCAAGATGGATGATGAGTGAGTTCACGGTGCTCATTATATTCATCTGTATCCTTTTCTTGCAGGCTTAAGGTGTTTCAAAATAAGCTTAGAAAAGAAAGAAAAAGAAAAAGGAAACTCTAGGTTGAAGTTTATAGAGGGTCATGGAAATGGAGTATTATGAAAAAGTGATGCATTGATGCCAAAATTTTTACACTGAAATAGACCTTTTAATTCCACTTTCCATGAATTTTTTTTTAATTATTTATTTGAAAGGTAGAGTCACAGCAAGAGAGAGAGAGAGAGAGAAAGAGAGAGAGCGAGCTTCCATTTGGTGGTTCCTCTCCTAAATAGCCACAGTGGTCATAGCTGGGCCAGGCTGAAGCCAAGAGCCTGGAGCTTCACCTGAGTCTCCCATGTGGGTGGCAGAGGACAAATACTTGGGACATCATCACTGCTTTTCCAGGTAGCAGGAGACTGGATTGAAAGGGGGAGCAGCCGGGACTTAACTGGTGCTCAGATGTGGGATGCTGGCACTGCAGGCCGTGTTTAACCCACTTCGCCACAACACTGACCCTCCGCAAAGTGTTTGAAGTGTCTTTGTGTTGGTTTCCTAGGGATGCCGTAACAAATTACGAAAAACTTGGAAGCTGAAAGCAGTGGAAATTTGTCCTTCCATGGTTCTGACATCGAAAGTGTGAAATTGAGGTGTTCGTAGGGCGGGTTCCTGCTGGAGGCTCCGAGGGGTACCTGGTTCCACAGTGCTGTCTGCTGGTTTCTGGTGACTGCTCGTAACCTGTGGCATTGCCGGGCGAGGGTCTTCACCAGTTCAGCCCCCCTCCATGTTCACCCAGTCTTCTCTCTGTGTCTCCAATTTCCTTTTTTCCTATAAGGACAATAATCGTTGGATTTAGGGTGCATCCTAAGTCCAGTATGATCTCATCTGGAAATCCTTAACATCTGCAATGATGCTATTTCCAAATATGTTTGCATTCACAGGTACTAAGGGTTAGGACTGGAACTATTTTTTTTTTTTTTTTTTGACAGAGTAGACAGTGAGAGAGAGAGAGAAACAGAGAGAAAGGTCTTCCTTTTCCGTTGGTTCACCCCTCAATGGCTGCTGTGGCCAGCATGCCACACTGATCTGAAGCCAGGAGCCAGGTGCTTCTCCTGGTCTCCCATGGGGTGCAGGGCCCAAGCACTTGGGCCATTCTCCACTGCCTTCCCGGGCCACAGCAGAGAGCTGGACTGGAAGAGGAGCAACCGGGACAGAATCCAGTGCCCCGACCAGGACTAGAAACCGGTATGCCGGCGCCACAGGCGGAGGATTAGCCTATTGAGCCGTGGCGCTGGCCAGGACTGGAACTTTGTTGTTTTGTTTTGTTTTTGAACTTTGTTTTTAAAAGGTAAAGTTCAACCTATGGGTGTATAGAACTCTGCCCGTTCAGTCCCTCCTCTCAGTGTTATTGTGATTTATTGCTTCCTGCAGTTTCTCAGCCTTGGCAGAATGAACATTTTGGGTTCTACAGTTCTTTGTCATGAGAGGCTTTCCTTGTGCCTTGAGGATGTCTACTGGTACCTCTACCACCTACCCATTAGATACCAGTTGCACCCTTATGCAGTTGTAGAAGCCAAAAATGTTTCCTTGGAGTAGGAACTCAAGGTAAAATATAAAAAGCCTAGTTAAATATTAACTTACCTTTTAATCCCACTTTTCATGAACTTTTTGAAGATAAACAATGAGTAATTTTTATTGGTATTTTGCAGATATTCTGTGAGCCATACTTATATTAAAAAATCATTCCTTGTTCATAGTGTGCATCCTATTATTGTTGTTTTGTGCAATCTGGCTGTATCACTGGGAAGCCAAGTTACCCCTGGTTTAGCTCCACTGGTTGAGAAACATCCTTACAAATGCATGCTCACCAGGTGGTTATGCTATGCTTGCTGCCAGACCATGTCTGTCCACAGTTTGCTGCATTTACCCCTTGTAATGACCCTGAGAAATAGGTGCTGTAATTATCTTGAGCAGGTAACTAGAAGAAGAGTTGGATTTGAACCCAGATCTGTGTTTGTATAGATACTGTGAGCTGGGCAGGTAGGGAGTGGGGACTGCTGGGCACATTGTGAACACTTTATGCGCTCAGGGGACAACGATGCTGATGTTGAGAATGTCGGGGGAGAGGTGGATTGGAAAGCAGGAGAGCTGCTAAAGCGGAGTGGCTTGAAGAGAAGGTGGAAGGGCGTAAGAGGAGCTGCTTACCGAAGAGGGACAACGTGAGTGGTCCTGGGATGTGGGATCGTTTCCCGAGAAGAGACCCCGCTGAGTTGTGGGTCGTGGTGAGATCACAAGATGACTGTGTCTGGCGGTCCTGTTTCAGAATGTTGCTCTCACCTCCCTGCGTGGCCTTGGGCAGATGTTGTGGTGACAACAATATCTGACACTTACTGGGTACTTGGTGTGTGTCAGGTGCTGCCCTAAGTCCCAGCCCTGCGTTTTCCCAGTTACTTCTCAGATGATACCCTTCGAGTGGATCACCTTACAAATGAGAATGGTGAGGCTTAGGAAAGGTTAAGAAACTTGTCCCATATTACAAGATGGTTCTCCTCCCATTGCTCACAAGTATTTCTCAAGAATTGCTGTAGCATGAGCTGGGAATGCAGTATCTGGAGACAGGGGAGGGAGTGGTTGGCACAGCCTGGACTCTAGTGCTGGCCTTCCTAGTATTTGCATGTTTTTCAATGCCTAGTGAGTTAAGTTTCCCCTGAGTTATAAAGCCTGGGGCTGGGGAGGGCTGTTTTCTGGGGTCTCTCAGATCCAGTACAAATGGGGCATACACAGGTAAGACTCCACCTGGCCTGGGCAACTTCCTGAATCTTGGACAATCAGCTCGCCGTGAATCCTGGGGTTCTTTGTCCTAGCTGCCAATTTATAAGTAAAAATTCACTTTCTGTAATGTGTGTGTGTCCTGTCTCACTGGACTCGGGCAAGGGGGTAACCAGTACACAATGAACCTGCTTCATCATGAGCTGGAGAGGGTGAGCTGGGCCTCGCTGGGCTGGCTGGACTCCTGGGTTCACATTTTGAAATTGCTGTCGTCTGTTGTCTTCCATCAGTACATCTTCAGGTCTCGGTTTTCTTCTTGCCCCAGCAGTTATTCTATCCTTGCCTCTTGGGTTCATTCTGAGGAGAGAATGAGTGAGAGTTTGTGCATAGGACCTTGCTTCAGAATACCTGCCAGTTATTATGAAAGGAGGCGAAGTCACGCCCACCTTCCTGGCAGGCTCTCTGGGTTTCCCAGGGATCGTGTCTCATCTGTCTTTTGTTCACTTCCTGTTGTGACTGCATGCAGTAAGCACGTACCGTATAGCAGGCACTGCTCTGGGCGCCAGCATGCAGCTTTGACTAAGACAGATGCAATTCCTGTTAGAGCATTTCACCACCAAGCCCAGCACCCATTGTAGACCCTCAAGCCCTACTTGCTGAATGAATGTATGCATGCATGCATGCAGAGAGCAAATGAGTCCGGCCTTTCCCACTGAGATGTGGATGCAGCTGTTAGAATTGCCAAGGCTTGTCCTGAAATAATGGATGAGCATTGTCTTCCAAGAAGGGTGACTTCATCTGTCTGAAGGAGGGGATAATAATATATTCCTTGCCAGGCTGTTGGGTGGCTTAATTAACTAATATTTATAAAGTGCTTCTAAAGCCACAGATGAAAAGCTAGGTAAAAATGCCTGGCGTTATGGTTTTAATAATTTACTGTACCTCTGCACTGGGCCTTTCAGATGTTTTTCTTCAAACAGGAGGCAGTAGCACGTAGTTTTGAGATAATTAAACCCTAGATAAAGATCATCTACTTCTTGATTAGAACAAAAATAAGCCCTTTCTCCTCTTTGCTGGGCTGCTCCATTTTCCTGCTACTCAGGTAAGCTGCCTGTGTTTGGGAACATCTGCTGATGAGACAGGAGCTTTCTCTCTGTGTATCTGTCATTTAAAGGAGGTATTTCAGCTGGAATCTTCCCAGGACCTCATCCAGGCCTATGATAGTTAGAAGGGCCACAAGGGCATTTGCATAATCCACTGTTGATTTGCATATAATTTGCATAGCACATCTTGCTCTATGCTGTCATGCATTACTTGATTTCAAAAGCTTTGTCATTTCTGTTTATATAACCATGGAAGTAGCAAAGATCACACAAGGGACTCACTTCCCCAGAGCACTTTAGCCTTAGGAGGAAGGGACATTTTTAACACCTTCTACGTGCTTACAAGCGAATTGCATTTAATTCACTGTTTTTCAAGTTTGGCTGCATGTTGGAATTGCCTAGAGAGCTAGAGAATCCTGACGCCTGGGCCCCATCCCCAGAGATTACGATGTGATGGGTCTGGCGGTTGTGGGGGCGGGAGGAGCCTCAGCCTCAGGCTCTTGACTTCCTCCACGGTGATTCAGACATTCTGCATAGATGGAAAACTACATTTTTTTTTTTTGACAGGCAGAGTTAGACATTGAGAGAGAGAGAGACAGAGAGAAAGGTCTTCCTTTTGCCGTTGGTTCACCCCCCAAGTGGCCGTTATGGCCGGCGCATTGCGATGATCTGAAGCCAGGAGCCAGGTGCTTCTCCTGGTCTCCCATGCGGGTGCAGGGCCCAAGGACTTGGGCCATCCTCCACTGCACTCCCTGGCCACAGCAGAGAGCTGGCCTGGAAGAGGGGCAACCGGGACGGAATCCGGCACCCCGACTGGGACTAGAACGTGGTGTGCTGGCGCCACAAGGTGGAGGATTAGCCTAGTGAGCCACGGCACCGGCGGATAACTACATTTTAAAACATCTATTTATTTGAAAGGGTGGGACTCTGACCTCAGAATCAACCCATAAGACTTCCTGGTCGAGCTGAAAGGCCTGCAAGAGCATTTCAGGCATGGAAAATAAGACTCTCTGACAAAAAAAAATAAATAAATAAAAAAATAAAAATAAAAATCCTACACAGAGGATCTCTGTGAGACCTCAGAGGAAAGGAAGGGTCATCAAAGAAGGAGACGCTCTCCTCTGAAGGGGGAGGAGCACATCCTCTTGGATCATGGCCGTGTCCAAATACCAACAGAGTCTGTGGTCACAAAAGGCCTCCATAGCCGTGGCAGCCCACGGCAAGAGCCTCAGATGATCACTGACGTCATAAAAAAAGTGTTAATTGTTAAAGGAACAACAGTAGTCACTGTGCACTTGCTCCCCAGGTAGGACCTCTGTCCCTACTGAATTGCAATATGAGAATCGACTGCAAATTCTCCCCCCTAACTGTACTCTATATGTTGTGCGTGGGTGTGGGGGCAAATTTTTGAAATCTATGATTAGCATAGAGTTGGTCCTCTGTATATAAAGTCATATTAAAAATGATCCATAATGAAGAAGGAGATGGGAGAGGGAATGGGAGGTGGGATGGGAGCGGGGTGGGGGTTATGGGAGAAAGAACCACTGTATTCCTAAAGTTGTATCTATGTGAAAAAGCATTCATTAAATAAAATATATGTATATTACATTATAATATTATATATTATATAATATATATTTATATTATCATTATAATATATATTTATATGTATAAATATATATTATTTAATGAATGCCTTTTTACATAGATACAACTTTAGGAATATAGTGGTTCTTTATATATATATAAAGAAAGGGTGGGGGAGAAAGAGAGAGAGATGTCTTCCATCTACTGGTTCACTCACCAAATGCCCACAACACCCACGGCTGGGCCAGGTCAAAGCCAGGAGTCAGGAACTCCATCTGGGTCTCCCATGTGGGTGTCAGGAACCCAGGTCCTTGAGACATCATTTGCTACCTCCTGCAGTAATGGAAGTGGGAGTGGGGCTTGATCACAGGTATTCGGATATGATATGTGTATATCCAAGAAACAACTTGACCCACTGTACCACAATGCCTGTCCCCTAACAACTACATATTTAATCTTCATAAACAAACCCATGAAGTAGTACTCCCCACCTCATGTTAAAGGTGTGGAAACTAGGGGCCTATATTATGGCTCAGTGGATAAAGCCACTGCCTGTGACACCGACATTCCATATGGACACTGGCTCAAATCCCAGGTGCTCCACTTGCAATCCAGCTCAAGCAGCTTACGTACTTGAGCCCCTGCCATCCGCATGGGAGACCGGGAAGAAACTCCTGGCTTTGGTCTGGCCCAGCCCTGGCCATTGTGGCCATCTAGGGAGTGAACGAGTGAATGGAAGATCTGTCTCTCCCTCTCTCTGTGTAACTCTGCCTTTCAAATAAGTAAATAAATCTTTAAAGGCTTGGAGGAACAGGGGAAAGCCATTCATTGTTATTTATGTTAATAACTGATCATTTTGGGGGGTGTGTGTGTTTAATTCTTGAGATGACTCTCTGAGTCAGGGATTAATGGACCCCTTGTATAGATGAACAAACAGAGGTACAACAAACATAGTCTGCCCAAGTTCCTCCAGCTAACAAGAGACCACCTACGGGAGACAGAAGTCTGCACTTGGATTAAGGTTAGACTGCATGAGATTTGAATTTTGGGTCAAACCTCTGGTTTATGGAGGAGCCAGTCTTTGTAGCCTGAGTTTAGAGTTGGGTTCTTAGAAAAGTCACCTGGCTGGCGCCGCGGCTCAATAGGCTAATCCTCCGCCTTGCGGCGCCGACACACCACGTTCTAGTCCCGGTCGGGGTGCCGGATTCCGTCCCAGTTGCCCCTCTTCCAGGCCAGCTCTCTGCTGTGGCCCGGGAGTGCAGTGGAGGATGGCCCAAGTGCTTGGGCCCTGCACCCGCATGGGAGACCAGGAGAAGCACCTGGCTCCTGCCTTCGGATCAGCGCGGTGCGCTGGGCTGCAGCGTGCCAGCCGTGGCGGCCATTGGAGGGTGAACCAACGGCAAAGGAAGACCTTTCTCTCTGTCTCTCTCTCTCACTGTCCACTCTGCCTGTAAAAAAAAAAAAAAAAAAAAAAAGTCACCTGGAGGCGTTGGCACTGTGGCGCAGCAGGTTAATGCCCTGGCCTGAAGCTCAGGCATCCCATATGGGCACCGGTTCTAGTCCCGGCTGCTCCACTTCCTATCAGCTCTCTGCTGTGGCCTGGGAAAACAGTGAAGGATGGCCCAAGACCTTGGGCCCCTGCACCCGCATGGAAGACCAGGAAGAAGCTCCTGGCTCCTGGCTTCGGATCAGTGCAGCTCTGGCCATTGTGGCCAATTGGGGAGTGAACCAGCGGATGGAAGACCGACCTCTCTCTCTCTCTCTCTCTCTCTCTGCCTCTTCTCTCTCTGTGTAACTCTTTCAAATAAATAAATAAAATCTTTAAAAAAGAAAAAAGTCACCTGGAAAATACAAAGGAATGCATGGAACAAGTAGGGCCAAGGAGTGAATTTCCAGGCAACAAAGAGCGAGGCTTTTTGGCTTTGTGGGCCAATTCTTGCCCTCTTTCTCTCTCTTTCCCTCAAATGTTTATTGACCTCCGTGCCACACACAGAAGACAGACAAAGGCTGCTACTTAGTGTCCACCACTGGACAGCCATACTCCTGCTTTGAATTAACCTGCAGAAATTAGGCTGTGCTTTTTGCTTCCTGGAAGGTGGTCTGAAGGCAATGAGAGAAAATACTTCCAGCAAGCCAAAGGGAAGCAGGATGCCTGATTTAAAAATATTATTTGAAAGAGTTTTTTTCCCGCTTGTCATCTGGGAGGTGGCAAGAGGAAGAGATTTTTATCCTATTCAGCCGGCCAAATATGGCCACAAGTAGTGAGTGGCTTGGTGCCATGCCATTCAAGTATAAATTCATTCCTCCAGGAATTTCTGAGCCGCTGTCAGGAGCCTGGCACTATTGTAGAAGATGTGGATGCGTTAAAAAAAATAAGGCAGAGCCTCACTTTCTCCCTGGTGACCCTCACGATGAAGTAGCGAGGAAAGCCTGGATCTGGAGGAGCAGTGATGCAGGCAGAGCGAGCCGTCAGCACAGAGCCTGCGCTGGGAACAGCAGTGCGGCTCACAGCGGGGCAAGTGGGAAGGGTCAGGGCGGGGGGCAAGGGACACATCACACCCTGCTCTGTGGCCTTGATGAAGCATTCGACTGCTGCCCTGAATGAGCTGGGAATGAGCAGAGAAGGATCAGTCTGGCTGCTCTGGGAGAGTAGACCAAGCCTGGAGCTGCGTGAGCTGTGGAAACAATGCAGGTGGGAGATGATGAAGGTTTGAACCACGCTGGCCACAGAGATGATGAGAAGTGGTTGCCCCTGACATCTCCTTGGAAAGCAGAACCTTCAGGACTTGCTTATGCATTCAGTGTGTTGGGTGAGCTACAAGCAGGAATCAGGGAGAATTTCTGTTTATTTGGCTTGAATGATTTAAGGTGCTGCCTTCCATGATGGGCAAGACTGAAGGAGAAATAGTCCATTTTCAGCTAAATTTGAAAACATCACCTATTGTGTTTTCTTTCTTAACAAATTCACAGTAGCACATTAAAGGTTCTGAGACTTCCAGCTGTGCAGTGTTCTAGATTCTGATGGGTGTGCTTTTGTTCTTTCTACCTCCAAATGCTTCCCCATTTTAAGTGACTTCCTGTTCCACAAAACTGGTATTTCTGCCTCCAGTTTAACACAAGCGTTATCTCCACACCAAATCAGAGAGCTAACAGGAAAATCTGATGCCACACTCCTGCCTAAAACCCTCAATGGCTCCCCACTGCCCTCAGGGTGAATACCAGATGCTTTTCCATATGCTTTATGATGTGGCTTCTACCTGCCGTTCAGATGCGCTTTCACTCTTTGTTTTAGTTTAACACAATATTGTCTTTCTACCTGCTATACCGCCCAACTTCTATTCAATCTGTCTGCATGAACTTGGATAGTACCACACTTGGAGGAATCTCCTGACTTCTGTCTGAGTTAAGCATCTCTGTTTTTGCTCTCCTGTTCTCTCTAGTTAGCATTTGTCACATGACATTTTCATTTATTTCTTTCTTTCCTGCCAAGGGCTGAGCTCCATGAAGTGATCGTTGTAATCCCCAGCGGCTGGCGCAGTTCCAGGCACAGAGTAATAATGTGTGGGGAATCTTCCTTGGGTGAATGGGTAAGTGAGTGAATGTGGCTCCATGGGTCTTTATCAGACACAGACTCCTGCCAGTCCTCTAGTATTCTGCTGCTGCTGCCTTTTTTAAAGATTTGTTTATTTATTTGGAAGATAGAGTTATGGAGAGGCAGAGAGGCAAAGGGAGAGAGAGAGAGAGAGAGAGAGAGAGAGCGTTTGAGTTCCATCTGCTGGTTCATCCCCCAGTGGCTGCAACAGCCAGGGATGGGCTGATCTGAAGCCGGAGCCAGGAGCTTCTTCTGGGTCTCCCAAGTGGGTGCAGGGGCCCAAGGACTTGGGCCATCTTCTACTGCTCTCCCAGGTCATAGCAGAGAGCTGGATTGGAAGTGGAGCAGCCGGGACTCAAACCAGCACCCATATAGGATGCAGGCACTGCAGGCAGCAGCTTTACTTGCTATGCCACAGCATCGGCCCCAGTATTCTGCTTCTTAGATTGGATGTCAGCATCCTGGTCTGGGAGTCTTCAAACTGTCACAGAGTCGGAAGGAGGCTTGGAAAGTCATTGAATCCCATGTCTGTAGTCTGAGATGTACTCTGAGGCCATCAGTGGTTATAGATGGAGAGGCCAGAGGTCTTGGGCAATGATCAAGACATTGATTCCATTCAGTAGATCTGTGCTGGGAATCCAGAGATGGCTAAGACAGAGTTCCTCTCTTGGGGAGCTCGCAGACGGAGAGAGAGCTGCACAAATAAGCTTCAGGGAAGAAAGTGCTGAAATAGTGATTTTTAGAATTTCTTTTTGAGCACGGGAGAGGGAACATAGCCCCAAGCCAGGGAGTTAAAGCAGCTCTGGGACTTAAAGGACTTAACCTGGGCCATGAGGGGTGACTAGAAACTTGCCAAATGGAGCTGTAGGTGCTCAGGACAGAGTAAAGGCATGGAGGTGAGAATGTTGGTGGTGTGTTCATGACCAGTGTGTCATGTGCTTATGGCGTCCAAGAAGGGTGAGACTTAGTCTACACTGGTTAGGATGCTTCGGACTGTGAGTAAAGGGAGGCTCTGCCAGCAAGGGTTCAAAGATCAAGAAAAGCATTATGTGGCCTCGGAAGAAGCCATTAGGGAAGGGGTTCCTGAGTGACTAATTCAGCACCTGATGACGTCACCAAGAGTCCAGGCTTTTTCGGTTTTTTGGCACTGCCCTCCCAGCAAACAAATTTGAGGCTGCGTCTTTCCCGTGTTGATGTGTATTTTCTTTAGCAGCGAGGGAAGTATTCCCCAGGAGCTTTCCCCAGTCCTTGCTCCCAAGTCGCACTGGCCAGGATTGTGTCTCCATGACGTGAACCCAAGCAAGCTACTGGAGAGGGCATGTGCCCGCCCTGCTGAAGCAGGCCAGTCAAGAGTCGTGGCTGCAGCCAGTATGGCTTTTTATTTTATTTGAAAGGCAGAGTTACAGAGAGAGAGAGAGAGAGAGAGAGAGAGAGAATCTTCCATCTGCTATTTCACCCCCCAAATAGCTATAATGGCTGAGGCTGGGTCAGGCCAAAGCCAAGAGCCTGGAACTCCATCTGGATTCTCCCATGTGGGTGGCAAGGACCCATTCACTTAGACCATCTTCTGCTGCTTTCCCAGGTCATTAGCATGGAACTGGATTGGAAGTGGAGCAGCCAGGACTTGAACCAGCACCCAAACAGGATGCTGGTGTTTCAGGTGGCGGCTTAACTTGCTGTGCCACAACACCAGTCCTCAAAATAATTAATTTTAAAGGATAGGTATTTGCCTAGCAGTTAATATACCAGTTATGATACTGATTCCCTTGTCCTATATTGGAGTACCTGTGTTCAAATCCCAGTTCCACTCTAGATTTCAACTTTCTGTGAATGTGGACTCTGGGAGGCAGCAAGGGATGATTCAAGTCATAGGCTCCCTGTCTCCCATTTAGGAAACCTTGAGTTTACAGCTCCTGGCTTTGGCCTAGTCCAGCCTTGGCCATTGCAGGCATGTGAGGAGTGAATCAGTAGATGGGAGCTCTCTCTGTCAGTCAGTCTGTCTGTCGCTTTCTCTATCTCTCAAATAAATACAAATAAAACATTTATAAGACTGCCAACCAGCTCCCTCAGTTGCATAAGGCCAATTCCTTTGACATATTTATATATAAGTATATAATTATTTACATTTTAAACAGTCATAATCGTTATATTTTAAGTATATGTTATGTACAGTTATATAAAATATACGCATTAAGGGTATTTTATTTTTAACCTGTGTGATGGTGTATCTGTCTGTCTCCTGGTACTTTGCTTCTGCTATTGGCCTCTGATTGAGACAGAAGGGTTTTCATCAGAACAGCAGCAGCAGTAGCAACAGCAGCAACAAATACTTCCTGAATGCGTTTTGAATGTCGAGACGGCACAGGATACTTGTCTCCTTTAATCCTTGTAATAGCTCTATAAGCTAGGCCTGTCATCCCCATCTCGCCTAGGAGGAACACAGGTATACAGAAGTTAAGTCACTTGACTGTCAGCATAGAGCTAGAGAGTGGCAGAGCCAGGGAAGCAGTCTGGATTTGTCAGACTCCAAAGTTTGGGCTTAAAATTTTTTTTTCTATTATTTATTTGAAAGGAGAGTGAACGAGAGATACTTTAAGAAAGAGAGAGAGAGGTTTCTTCCACAAACGCTCTCAACAGCCAGGACTGGGCCAATCTGAAGCCAGGAGCCAGCAGCTTCATCCCTGTCTCCCATGTGAGTGGCCATGCTCAAGTATTTGAATCATCATCTCTTGCTTCCCAGGGTATGTATTAGCAGTAACCAGAGTGGGAAGTGGGACCAGGACTGTAACCAGGTGCTCCGATAATGGGATGCGAGCCTCCCAAGCGTCATCTCAACCCCCACCCCAGAAGCCTGGGCTTTAAGGGGTTGCACCGTACTGTTTCCCTGCAGGACAACCCCAGCCAGATTCAACATTAGGAATATATTTTACAGACATGCTGAAGCATGAACGCTGGGGTTCCCTCTGACTGCTGATGAAGAGCTTGTTCTTGCTTTGGAGGCAGGGTGCACTTTGAAGGTCATGGTCTCTTCCAGGGTCTGCTTTACTTGCAAGCATGGTATTGTCACTTACTCATGAAAGACACCCCCTCCCTGGCCTCCTTCAGGAAGCCGCTTGTGTCACAAAGGTGCCATTCTTGGAATGAAGAGCTGACATCACCGTTCCTAGGACAGGATGATTTCTTGGGCCCTGCACATTACTTCTGTTCCGGTCCATCCTATCAGACTTTTTTTTTTTTTTCCAGCGACTGAGCAAGGTTCGGGGATGGTAACCCTGGTTTAAAGTCAACCAATTCAGAGAAGCAGCCTGTGGCTCCTTGTGCACAAAGCAGGGTTTGTGTACTACTGGTTATTCACAGGCTGGCTTTAGGTCATGTACTGCATAATGATGTTGTGGTCAACAACTGACCACGTGTACAGTGGTGGCCCTGCAGGATTGTGTTGGAGTTGAGAGGTTCCTGTTACCTAGTGACGTTGCAGCCATCATAACATGGCACAATGCATTACTCATGTGTTTGTGGTGGTGTGAGACAGATTCCACTGCTAGTCATACATGTAGTTATGTGCAGTGCAGAGTGCATGGTGATGACAATAAGTGACTATTCCTGTTTCATGTACTTACCATACTCAAAAAAATAATTTAATTGTTTGAAAGCCAGGGAGAGAGAGAGGGAGAGGGAGAGGGAGAGAGGGAGAAAGACCTTCCTTTCCACTGGTTCACTCCCCAGATGCCTACAACAGCTGGGACTAGGCCAGGCTGAAACCAGGAGCCATGATACTCTATCCAGGACTCCCACCCGGGTGGAAGGTACCCAACTACATGAACCATCATACACCACCTTCCAGAGGGCACGTTAGGCAAGAAGCTGGAATCAGGAACAGAGCTAGGATGTGAGCCTAGTCACTGTACTATCCTTTTCATGTGTATTTTACAGGATATTCCTCCTATTCTTTTTTTTAAATTTTTTTTTTTTGACAGGCAGAGTGGACAGAAGAGAGAGACAGAGAGAAAGGTCTTCCTTTTTGCTGTTGGTTCACCCCCCAGTGGCCGCCGTGGCCAGTGCGCTACGGCCAGCGCATCGCACTGATCCGATGGCAGGAACCAGGTGCTTCTCCTGGTCTCCCATGGGGTGCAGGGCCCAAGTACTTGGGCCATCCTCCACTGCACTCCCGGGCCACAGCAGAGAGCTGGCCTGGAAGAGGGGCAACCGGGACAGAATCCGGTGCCCCGACCGGGACTAGAACCCGGTGTGCCGGCGCCGCAAGGTGGAGGACTAGCCTAGTGAGCCGCGGCGCCGGCCCCTCCTATTCTTTTTTTAAAAAAGATTTTATTTATTTATTTGAAAGGTAGAGTTATAGACAGTGAGAGGGAGAGACAGAGATAGAGGTCTTCCATCTGCTGGTTTACTCCCTAGGTGGCTGTAATGGCTGGAGTTGCGCTGATCCGAAGCCAGGAGCCAGGAGCTTCTTCCGGGTCTCCCACGCGGGTGCAGGGGCCCAAGGACTTGGGCCATCTTCTACTGCTTCCCCAGGCCACAGCAGAGAGCTGGATTGGAAGAGGAGTACCCAGGACTCGAACCCTGCCCTTATGGGATGCCGGCAATGCAGGCGGAGGATTAACCTACTGCGCCACGGTGCTGGCCCCTCCTTCTATTCTTACTATCAAACCAGCATGCCTTTGGTAGGCTGGCAGCAGCATCATACAGCCCTTGCATCAAGCGCCCACATCGGGGCCGGTGCCATGGCTCACTTGGTTAATCTTCCACCTGTGGCGTCACCGGCATCCATATGGGCTCCGGGTTCTAGTCCCGGTTAATCCTCTTCCAGGCCAGCTCTCTGCTGTGGCCCGGGAAGGCAGTAGAGGATGGCCCAAGTGTTTGGGCCCCTGTACCCGCATGGGAGACCAGGAGGAAGCACCTGGCTCCTGGCTTCGGTTCCGTGCAGCGCCGGCTGTAGTGGCCATTTGAGGAATGAACTAATGGAAGGAAGACCTTTCTCTCTGTCTGTCTCTCTCACTGTCTACAACTCTACCTGTCAAATAAACAAATTAAAAGAAAATACCAAAAAACCTAGTACCAACAGATGCTATGGGTTTAAAAAAAAAAAGAGCCCACATGGAGTGATTGAGGTTTGTGTAAGTGCACTCTATGATGTTTGCACAACAACAGAATTGCTTCATGATGCAAATAATAGCAAGAGACAATGGTTTTCCTTGTATAAGTTACCTGTAATATGTGTGTTAGAATTTTCCTAAGTAAGAATATGTGGATCAACTTAAAGAAATATATAATGATACAGGTGCATCAGTCTTAATTAAGATGTGCTTTAAGTAAAAATACCAATGGGGTTAAAAGGTTTTAGTCTGGGGCCAGCATTGTGGCATAGCGGGTTAAGCCACCACCTGCAGTGCCGGCATCCTATATGGGCGCCGGTTCTAGTCCCAGCTGCTCCACTTCCGATCCAGCTCTCTGCTGTGGCCTGGGAAAACAATAGAGGATGGCCCAAGTCCTTGGGCCCCTGCACCCATGTGGGAGACCAGGAAGAACCTCCTGGCTCCTGGCTTCTGATTGGTGCAGCCCCAGCTGTTGTGGCCATCTGTGGAGCGAACCAGTGGATGAAAGACCTCTCTCTTTCTCGCTCTCTCTCTGCCTCTCTCTCTCTCTTGTGTAACTCTTTCAAGTAAATAAATTAATCTTTAAAAAAATAAAAAGGTTTTGTCTTTCATTTGTCATTCTTTATGTTGTAACGTGGATATAGGGGATGTCAGAAAGTTTGCAGATAATGAAATAAAGAGATAAGTATATTTTGGCCCCCAAATTTTGAAACCCATGCATAGTTTTTCCATAGCATGTGTTTTCAATGAACCTTTCAAAGATCTCATATGATATTAGGGGTATATACTGGGTTAAGTCAAATATGTTATTAAAATTAATTTTAGCAGTTTCTTTATTTTTCTTTAATCAGTCCAGTAGAAAACTTAAAATTACAGATGTAGTTTGTAATCAGTTTCTACTGGACAATGTCAGTAGCTAGATTCTGAGGTCCACCAGGGCAGAGACTTTAGCTTCTGGCTCCTGCCTGTGCCTTCGGTGTCTAACACAACAGCTAGTGTTTAGTAAGTGCTTCATAAATTTTTAGTAAACCACGTAGGACATGTGTGTGACATAAAGGCTCATAGATTTCTCCAACAATTGACTCAGTATCTAACTACCCTTGCTATTTCTTGTGCTTTGCTCATTTCTTCTGCAAATCTTCAGGTATTCTCCCTTTTCTCTTGTTTAAAGTGTCTCAGATAATGATTTAATTTAGATTTAACAAGCCAGTTTTTATAGGGCAATTAAATGCCAGTTTATGATTTAAAGCCTATTTATTCGGGTTAACTGCCATTAAATAGTTTTTATCTCATCTCTTTAGGATAATATTGTTTAAAAAATATTTCCGATTATTTAAGATCTCATTTTATACCCACCGACACTTAAATACTTTAAGATAATTAAAAAATTTCCTAGGTCATTTGCAAACAGATTTATCATGAAAGAAGAAGAAGATACAATTTACTAAGAAACAAAATAACCAAAATACAGTTAAGAATTTTATACACAATTAATATAAAGGGGTAAGCAAGTAGACAGATAAAGTTGACTAAACATTGAGCTCACATGTAAATGTTATTATACTTTTTTTTTTAAAAAGATGTATTTATTTATTTGAAAGGCAGAGTGACAGAGAAAGAGGGAGGGAGGAAGAGGGGGGGAAGGAGGTGAGAGAGAAAAAGAGAGAGATCTTTCAAACTTCGGTTTATTCCTTAAATGACCACAACAGCCAGGTCTGGACTAGGCTGAAGCCAGGAGTCAGGAGCCCCATCTGGATCTCCCACATGATTGGCAGGTGCCCAAGCACTTAGACCATCTTCTGCTGCCTTCCCAGGAACAGTAGCAGGAAGCTGGGTTGGAAGTGGAGAGGCCAGCACTTGAACTGGCACTCTGATATGGGATGCTCCTGTGTCTAACCTGCTGCGCTGCAACACTGGCCCTACTATACTTGTTAGTGACAGGATTGCTGGGATATAATTCACATACAATTCACTGGTTTTGAGTGCCTTCATAGATTTGTGCAACACTCACGTTTTCCAGTTCCAGAATATTTCCGTCATCTCTAAAAGGAGTCCATCATACCTATTAGCAGTTGGTCCCAGGTCTTTCCCGTTCCCGTCTCCTGGCAACTGCTAGACTGCTAGTGTGCTTTCCATTTTTTTTTTTTTTTTGCTTTTCCTGGGCATTTCATGTAAATGGAATCATACAACTTGTGGCCTTTTGTGTCTTTTATTTAGTATCATGCTTTCAGGGTTCATCTATGTTGTAGCAAGGAGCATTACTTTATTACTTTTTGCGGCTGAATACTATTCTATTGTGTGGATAAGCTGCATTCTGTTTATCAGTTCATTCACTGATGAACTTTGGGGTTGTTGAAGAGAAATGCCCTTTCAAAATTAGGTAATTTTTGGCCTAAGCCTTACGTAATATATGCATGTGCTAATAATGATTACTGATATTTCCTGAGCACTTATTATGTACTAGGTGTTTTAAGTGCTTTAAATGGTTAGCTAGCTCATTTCATGCTCACAGCAACCCTGTGAGAGAGGTTTCATGGTTACCCCCATTTTTCTCACTAATAAGTTATAAAATAGATTAAGCAACCCCTCCCAAGACAAAGGGTAAATTTTTCCAACCCAGAAAGTCTGGTTTCAAAGTCTAAACTTTATTTTTTATTTAAAAAAACCATCCATGGGGCTGGCATTGTAGTTAAGCCACCACCTGCAGTGCCAGCATCCCACATGGGTGATGGTGTGAGTCCCAGATGCTTCACTTCTGATCCAGCTTCTTGCTAATGTGCCTGTGAGAGCAGTGGAAGACGGGTAGGAGATGCAGAAGAAGGTCCTGGCTCCTGGCTTTGGTCTGGCCCTGCCCTGGCTGTTGCGGCCATATAGGATTGAACCAGTGGATGGAAGATATCTTTCTATCTCGTCTCTGTCTCATGCTCTCTCTCTAACTCTGCCTTTC